AGGGAGGGAGGGAGGGAGGGAGGGAGGGAGGGAGAGTGATTGTATATACAATACTAGCCTTTGAAACATAGCTAGTTGCCAGCCTCTGTTTTCATGGAACGCTCCTTGCCATCGTTCACTGGGCCCACCTCCCACCATGCTCCATGCTGCCCCTGTGATGACCTAGTAGCCTTTCCTCAATGCAATGATCTCCAGAAGTGTTGGATTAAAAGGCAATCATCTCTACTGGCAGTGCTCACCAGGATATGCTTGCAATGGAGTTAAGTCCAACACGGCAACAAATTGAGTTTGGACTAAGAATACATATTTAGCCGTTCTTGATGGAACTGCGAGGATTCTAACAAGGTAGAGCTGGTAGTCCCGGTTGTGCTACTTGTCTGAACTACCTCGCAGGGCTAACACTTTTAGATGTAGTTTTTAAAAATTTCTGAAAGATTTTTATTCCTGGACAAAGGTTGAAAATAGGAGATATCATTTGACCTTGGGGACTCTTTTGCCACAAAGTTCATGGTGAGCTGATCAGAGAACAGGGACCTATAGTGGACTTATTTTGCGTTCTTCCAATGATGCCTCTGCAACCAGAAAAGCTGACAGCATATTGTGAGTCCCCTAAAGGAACATACAGGAGATGTATTTTGTTTTATTTCACAGGTGTACCTTTTGATCCTTGTGAATTTGTGGACATTGCGGTCGCTAACATAATTTCTACTATAATATTTGGGAAACGTTATGAATATGACAGCACCCTCCTCAAGTCTCTGCTGGATATGATACATCAAAGTTCCCAAATCACAGCGGGACCCTGGGCCTTGGTATCCTTAACAAGAATCCAGATGAATGTTCAGAATTAATGCACAACTAGGGGAATTTGGATTTCCATGTCTCAGATATTTTGGAAACTTTCTGATTTTCCTTCCAATTAGGACAGGATCTCATCAGAGTGCCAGGAAAATGGGGAAGGCTCTCTGTGAGTGATTTGGTCCAAAGCTGCAGTTATTTAGATTTAATTAGGGCAAATTTCTGCACTGAAATTTTACCTTACTTGGAAATTTGATACCCTATCAAATTGTGAATAAGAGTTATTTACATGAACCCTTTACAACACATGGGATTTTTTTCCTGCTCAATGTATCCTACAAAGGAGACTCCATCATGATTCTATTAAATTAATCAATGTTCGCTTTTCTTCTGTTTCCTGGCAGCTTTACAATGCTGTGCTGTTAGTGAGGAGGCTTCCCCTGCCCCATCAGGCACTAGTAACAACTGCAAAGAAAATAGATGCTTTCGTTGAAAAAGAGGTGGAAGAGCACAAGGCAACCATGATTCCTGGAGAACCCCGGGATTTCACTGATGCATATCTGGAAGAAATGCAGAAGGTAGATTTCTCAGTCCCTTGTTGCTGACTTTGCATTGTTTTCTTTTCCTCTCATGTTGAACCTGTTTGTCTGACATGACGCCTCACGAAAGTACAAAACTTTGATACAGTGACTTTTCTAGATGTTCTGCCAAGTCCACTTTTTGCCTTGGGGACATGATGTGTGAGCGCAGCTATGTGCCCTTGCTGTGCATGTTGTGCAAACCCAGCCAGCTAACACAGATCTGTCCATCCGGTTGCAGCAGAAGGAGGACAGGGAAGAAAGTCCCCTTTACCAGCTCTGAGGACCCTCTGGGGGACTCTCATGCTCTCCCTGAACTGTTTGCATCATGATGGGTTATCACTGGAAGAACATGCTGGTTTTTCCTCTCCCTCCTTCCTCTCCCCTTTCAGTGATATTTTTCAGAATGAAATCCCAATTTTAAATTGACGTTATCCACTGTATTAAAAAGAATACATGAGTGGGAAAAGATCCTTTTTCCATTTGATTTTAACAACATTCTTTGTGTTAACTAACAAAAGGCAGAGAGGAAAGGTTCCAGTTTTGAAGAAGAGCAACTACGAGTCTTACTGTCTGAGCTATTCATAGCTGGAACAGAGACAACAGCAGGAACGATTCAGTGGGGATTCCTCTATTTGATGGCCTTCCCAGAGATCCAAGGTGAAGAATTATGAAACAACGTTCTCGACTAATAATAGTATTACCTTCACTTATTATGCAAAACGAGGAAGGGTCCTGAATAGGGGAGGAGTGATTGTTGCATATAATCAGCCGAGAGGCTGATTATAGAGGTGAGTACACATATTTGCTTCTTTAGTGATTATCATGGCTGGGAATTCAGTGAGCTGCTATCTCGTCACTTCTGGTGCTCACCTGACTGGGAAGTATACCAACCATGTCTACATGGAGTCAGTGAAATGTTTTCCAGAAGGTAACCGAGTTCTTGGTTCCTCAGAGAAATGCTGGAAGGAAATAGACACTGTTCTGGGAAACAATGCAAGCCTGAAATACGAAGATAGAGAAAACTTGCCCTACACAAATGCCGTCATTCATGAAATCCAACGCATTTCAAATGTTGTTCCTCTTGGAATACCTCACGCACCCATTCAAGATGTGCAGCTCTTTGGATATAAAATTCCCAAGGTAAAAGCAGAAACTTTTAATTGTCTCCCATGAAGTGAAGTGCTGGTGAATCTGCATGTGTCCATCTGTATCTTTCTGACCTGAGGTATGTGTTTGTAAGTAAGAGCAAGAGAAAGCAAGAAGTTGGGGTCAATCCTGTTCTGTCATATGGAGGGAAGACATAGCACAGTCAAAGGATAAGAGGACTTGCATTCGGACCTCCTTGTATGAAAGTGCAATAGGCTTATTGACCATTTTTTCTGTTGTGTGCTTTGGTAAGTTGGCATGGTTCCTGCAGTTCTCTAAAGTCCTTGCATCAAAGGTTTCTTCTGAAATCTGAGGAACTCTTTCTTATGAAAGGTGGCTGATAGCTCATGGTGGAGTGACTGATCACATCTCCTGCCTTGGTTCTTGCCCCCCTTTTTCCTAATACTGAGTTCAGCTCTGCTTGATCCATAACTCCTCCCTGTTTCTGCTCACCCTCATCACCTGTTCTTCAACCACAGCTCAATGGGGTCTATCTGAAAGCTGAGTCAGTAGCATCCTGAGTCAAGTCTGAGCACGAGTGCATTCTTCCCCATGACCTCTTTGTCTTGGCTCGTGCAGGACACCATGGTTTTTGTCAATCTCCATTCTGCACATTTTGATGAATCTCAGTGGAAGTTCCCAGACGAGTTCAACCCCTCCAACTTCCTGAATGAAAAGGGAGAGTTTGTGAACACGGAAGCTTTTTTTGCATTTTCAGCAGGTAAATATCTCTCTCTCTCTCTCTCTCTCTCTCTCTCT